TGTATTATTTGTTGAAACTGTACTTTCGATTTGATTTGAAACTGTCTCATTGCTATATGTTTATCAATAAAACTTTGAAAAGAAAAAAAAATAAGCACATCATAAATTCTGCTTCTTGGATATATTTCGCATTCCTTTTATTTCATATGAATAACAATAGCATTATTGTGATAACTAATGGGCCAGCCCTCTCCAAAATTTTTTGAGAAAATCTTTTGTCTTTCAAGACAATTGCATTTTTTGGTGTTGAAAAGAACTTCATGAGGATGATCCTTAAGTCCATAACACATCAGCTAAGTGGTTTATTCCACAAAGATCCCCAACAGAAAGAAGCAAAACCAAAAATGAAGCTAATGATGGAGGGCGAAACTTTGAAGAATAAGGACAATCAAAATCATGCTAAGTTTAAGGAGCAAATGAGAAGAAAAGGGGCAAGGGCAAAGGAAAAAAAATTAAGGGGGAAAGAGGTTTGAGAAAACCTTCAGAAGCTGACAGGATCAGAGGAACAGTATTTGTCCAAAATTCCACTCTTCTTTCTTTCAGTCTTTGTCCAAGGCTCATGTTCAAATTCAGCATCAGATACTGCTCTGTGTGATTGTAGGCTGGCCACAGAGGCAGGTCGTTCCCATTAGGATTACTAGAAATGAGAGTACACACAAAAGTAAGATTTTTTAGTATACCTACTGCTGAAATGAGCAGGTCACTTAGTTTCTAGCACTGTTATTATGGAAGCTCTATAACACAAGGTAAATCAGTATCTAGCTATAATTTGTCACTGCTAGACATTTGTAAAGGTCAACTGCAATATTCAGGGTTTGATCTTTTGTGTTATAAAGAATTCTTCTTGTTTATAACACAATCTCACAGGTAAGGAATATGTAAGAATTGAGCTCAAGCTCACTAGACAGTTTACCTCTGCACTGTGCGAAAACTTTGCAGCCGAGACTGGCCTGCAATGCAATCAGGAATCACAGCTCTTTCACATTTCAGAGAAGGAAAAACAACACATTTTCAAAGCTATTCTAACTAACCCTGCCATAACTGTTCTAGAATCATGGAAGTCATTTTACATCCCATTCTGATAGCATACTAAATGTCATTAAGATATTCTTTGTAAAATCATGTGTTTCTAGACAGGGCCTGTAACTCATTAGCATCTTTCAATTCAATATACTTAAAAGGCCATTTGCTGCCAAAATAAAAGGGGGTACAGGGAAGGGGAAAAAGAACTGAGATGGGTTATGTCCATGTACCAATTTTCTACAATAAATGTAATCATTATGCACTGCAAACATGTTAAGAAAAATTAAAAATAGAAATAGAAAAAAGTAGGATTTTTGAATTCTGTAGCACCTGGTGTGGGGAAAGCCTTTAGCCTCACCTACCCGCTTCGAGCAAAATTAGCCCAGTATCTCATCATCTTCTTACTCAGCAATTTCTCCTCTTTAGTAGCTCCTTCTGCAGAAAACAAAGACAAATCCAGATGCTCACAAATATTCCTCAGAATACACACACACACACACACACACACACACACACACACACATTTTACAAAAAATTAATTTCAAGTTCCCCTCAATTTTCCCAGGGGATTTGCTCCAGGATGCCCCTGCAGATGCCAACATGCAAGGATGGTCAAATCTCTTATATGAAATAATGCAGTTTTTGCATAAAACCTATGTACATCTTCACTTCTATTTTGTCATCCCTAAATTGCCTATAATATCTAGTAAAATTTAAATTCCATGTAAAAGTTGCTATGCATATTGTTTAGGGAATAATGACAAGGAAATCTCTGTACATGCATAGCAATTTTCCCTAATATTTTCAGTCTTTAATTGGTTAAAGCACAGATGTAGAAGGCTAACCATAGTGTATTTTTGTATCTGAAAAGGTAATATCTGATCTGGTTTGTGTCTAGATGTTCCCCTAAAGTTTCATGCAATTAAAGTGGGCTTTTGGGTTTTGGTTTTTTTTTTTTTTTTTTTTTTTTTT